CAAAAACCGCAATTACTTTTGCACCAATCTAATACAATTATTACTTGTCAATTATAAATTTAAAAATAAACTTTAAAAACTGAGCTATTACTCTACAGCTATTAGAATGACCAAAATCCCAAACACTGTCAACACCAAATAGTGATGAGGATTTGAAGCAACAAAAACTCTCAAACATTGCTGGTGGGAATGTGAAATTGCAAACTTCTTTAGAATATCGTCTGGTAGTTTGTCACAAAACTAAACATATTCTTTCATACCACATGATATGAGAATTGTGCTCCTTGGTATTTACCTAAAAGAGTCAAAAATGTACTTCCACACAAAAACCTAAACGTAGATGTTTATAGCAGCTTTATTCATAAGTGCCAAAACTTAAAAGCAACCAGCCTTTCGGTAGGTGAATGGAGAGATAAACTATGATACATCCAGGTAATGGAATATTATTCAGAGTTAAAAATAAATTAGCTATTAACCCATTGAAAGACATGGAGGAAACTTAAGTGCATGTTACTAAGTTAAAAAGGTCAATCTGAAAGATTAAAAGCTATATGATTCCAACTCTATAATATTCTGGAAAAGCCAAAACTATAGAGACAGTACCATTGGTTGCGAGGGGATAGAGGGAAGGGAAAGATAGGGAGAGCACAGAGCATTTTGGGGGCAGTGAAACGGCCCTGTATCCTACTCTGTAGGATAAAATAATTGTGAATATATATCATCATACATTTGTCCAAATCCATAGAATGTACAACATCAAGAGTAAACCCTAATGTAAACCATGGTTCCATTAATAATAACCTATCAATGCAGGCTTATCAACTGTAACAAATGTCCCACTCTGGTGCAAGTGACTGACAGTCGAAGAGGCTGTGCATGTATAAAAGCAGAAGGCATATGGGTAGTTTCTGTATCTTCCCTTCAATTTTGCTGTGAACCTAAATCTTCTCCAAAAAATAATTTGTTAAACAATTTAACTAATAAAGAAGCATAGACCAAAATATGTCTTAATACTGTAAAATTCTGGAAGAAAGTGTAAGAGAAAATCTTTGTTATTAGGTTAGACAAATATTTCATAGATACAATACCTAAAGTAAAATTGCCAAATTCATAAATTTTATTTTATCCAAATTTAATACTTCTGCTTTTCAAAAGATGTTGTTAAAATAATGAAAATGCAAGCCACAAACTGGGAGAAAATATTTGCAAATAATGTACCTGATAAATTACTTGTATTTAATATTCACTTGTTTAAAACCGTCAAAACTCAACAATAAGAAAACAACCAATGAGAAAATGAGCAAAAGATTTTATCAATACTTCGGCAAAGAGGATACAGGGATGACCAATAAGCATATAAAATGCTATTTGCCATCATTAGTAATTTTAAAAATGGTTAATAATTTAAATATGAACGGATTAAAACTACAATAATATATCATCTCAGATATATTAGGACAACTAAGATTAAACAACCAGCCATACACAGTGTTGGTGAGATTATAGAGAAAATGAAACTCTCAAATGCTGCTGGTAGCTATGCAAAGTGATAGAAACACTTTGGAAAACAGTTTGTCAGTTTTACAAAAAGTAAAATATTCAACTACCATATGAGCTAGCCGTTCTTTCTCTAGGTAATTACTTAAAAAATGTGAAAGCCTATAGTCATAGAAAGACTTGCACAGGAATGTTCATAGCAGCTTTATTTATCATTACCCAAAACTGGAAACAACTCAAATGTCCATCAACAGGAGAATGGAAAAACAAAACCTGGTACATTCATTTAATGGAACAGTACTCAGCAGTAAAAAGAAATGGACAACTGATACATACAGCAACATGGATGACTTTCAAAATAAGTGTGCTGGAGAAAGAAGTAAGACCCAAAACAAATAAATAAATGAGAAAGAGTGCATATTCTGTTGCTCCTTTTATATAAAATCCTAGAAAATCCCAACAACCTATAGTAATAGAAAGCACATGAGTGGTTGCCTGGGAAATGGGGATGGGTGAAGGAAGAACAGGGGGAATGAAGTGCAAAGGGCAGGAGGAAACCTTCGGGGTTATGGTGGTCTTCATCACATTGATTGTGGTGATTACTCCATGGGTGTATACATGTGTCAAAACTTATGAAATTGCATACTTCAAGTATGTACACTTTGTTACTTTATATATCAATAAAGTTGTTAAAAATAAATATAAGAGAAATGGAGGAAAATGAAAATTGATAGTAAGCATATGAGCAAAAGAAGCCTGACATGATATGACTATTTTTTATCATTCTTTTAAAAACAAACTATGTAGAGATAAAGATAAAAGTAAAGATGTAATTTAAGTGGTTAATGCAATAAACTAGGCACAATATAATCATTGCTTGTATCCAGATGATAGAAGTGTGATGGAGAGAAGTAATCAAATTATGGACATGTTTCAGAACAGCATCCACAAATTTTGCTCATGGATTAGATGTATAATGTGAGAGAAAAAGATGACTCAAAAATGACCCCAAGGTTTTTGGCCTTAACAAGGGAAATAATTGAATTGATAAAACTGTGAGAATAAATAAGGAATAAGTTCAAACACTGAATCCCAGGACATATCAACACAAACAGTTTGAAAAAAAGAGGAGAATCAACAAAAAGACTGAGAAGGATTAGCAAATATGGTGCGAGACAAAACAGTAGAGTATGGTATTCTGAAAGAAGAGTTGAGTTGAAAATGCGTTTCAAGAAAGGAATAATAAGAAAGGAGTGGCAAGTGATAAGAAGAGGAAGAGAAATGAGGACTGAGAATTGACCAGTCTAAATATGCAAGCAACTCAGATAGTTTTACCAGATTTGGACCACAGGGAGACACAAAGTTAACTCTATGATCAATCTTAAACTCGTATTTGGCACTTAAATGTCAGGCCTTGTGCTATGTCCTGGAGGATACAAAAAGCATATAACAGGAAAGGCCCTGGAAACTGGAGATTGGAGCTTTCAACAGGTAGAAAAAGGAAGACCTAAAGAGCAAAGACAAAGATGAATACAGAGCCATCCTGGACCTCAAATTGTTCAAGAATGCTTAAAATCATAAAAAAGAAATAAGGAAAGACTCAAAAGCAGATAGGTAGAAACCCAAGACAGAAATACACACACAAAATAGCAAATTCCGTGACAGCAATTTTTTTTTTTTTTTTTTTTTTTTTTTTTTTGAGGCGGAGTCTCGCTCTGTCGCCCAGGCTGGAGTGCAGTGGCCGGATCTCAGCTCACTGCAAGCTCCGCCTCCTGGGTTCACGCCATTCTCCTGCCTCAAGACTCCCGAGTAGCTGGGACTACAGGCGCCCGCCACCTCGCCCGGCTAGATTTTTGTATTTTTTAGTAGAGACGGGGTTTCACCGGGTTAGCCAGGATGGTCTTGATCTCCTGACCTCGTGATCCACCCGTCTCGGCCTCCCAAAGTGCTGATGGAGTCTCGCTCTGCTGCCCAGGCTGGAGTGCAGGGGTGCGATCTCAGCTCACAGCAAGCTCCGCCTTTTGGGTTCGCGCCATTCTTCTGCCACAGACTCCCGAGTAGCTGGGACTACAGGTGCGCACCACCAAGCCTGGCTAATTTTTTTGTATTTTTTTAGTGGAGACAGGGTTTCGCCATGTTAGCCAGGATGGCCTTGATCTCATGATCCGCCGGTCTCGGCCTCCCAAAGTGCTGAGATTACAGGTGTGAGCCACCACCCTGGCCGTGACAGCAATTTTTATAAGAACTTGAGAACATGGCAGGGATGCACAGAGAAGGAAAGTCAAATTTCATTCATTCATACACCCAGAAAGCACTTATTAAGCACATAATAGATGCAGAAAACTAAAGATATAAATCTATGCTTGGGTTCTGTCATGTCATATTCACATACTACCTGTCTTATAATTTCTTATTTTGTTTTTTAAACCAATTCACTTAAAAAAAAAAATACCTTTTTAACTTCTTATACCATTGACAGAAACTAAAACCAGCTACCCTTGCCAGCATACAAAATACAGATTCTAGTAATGTATATCAGAAAATAAATTTCTCAATGAAAAGAATAAAACTACTTATGATTGGTTGATAGTGACTATTAACCAAAATGTCCCTTATTTGGGGATATAAGTCTATGTCAACAGGATTATTTACTTTTTAAGATTCACTGCTAATAAGTACCAAGAAACATCAAATACTGGGAATATATGGGAGAAGAAAGTGTAAAAGATACTTGCCTTTCTTCTCTGAACAGTTGAATCCTGAGAATTAATTCCTAAACAAATGGTGTGGCATTGCTCAATAAATTTTGTTTCAAGAAACCATCAAAAGCGATCCCAGAATTGTTCTTCTTCTGAATATCTTAAATAATTGGGAACTATACAAAAACTAGTGGGAAAGTGTTTCTTATTCATTCACAGCTATATAAAATTTCATTTGAAAAAATATTACGATGGGTGTTTATCAAGTCTTTCAAGTGTCTTCATGGAATTTAAAATACTTTCAATGAATATTCTGGATGACTACATAGCCAGGATGTTCAGATGACCAAAAGTTTTCAGTATTTGTTGGTTGTCTGAATAGAAAAATAAGGTTTGGGGCCTTATTTCCAGTGCCCGAGTTATGTGATGTCTGAACACAATAATAATAATGGCTATTATTTATTGACTATTAACTATGTATTGGGCACTATTCATGGTGCTTTATGTATCGTATAACATCTTGTTTAATTCTCACAACAATAATATTATGTGAATCTTACTATTAATCCAACTTTACAGTTAAAACAAATTGCTTTCAGAGGAGTGAAGTGATTTTTCTGAGATCACACAGCTAGTATGTTGTAAAGCCATGACATGGGCAAAAATCTACTTCTAGTCTCTCTCTTCAGTCTCAGAATGACTGTCTGGGAATTGGAGGCTGCAGTTCTTCCTGTCTTCCTAGGGCATTTGGTTGCAGATTTTAAGCACTTAATCTTGGATGTGTTATCTCACCATTCTCTTTAGGCATTTGGGTATTCTGGCCCTCTGGAACATCCTGAGGGTTATCCTGATCAGAAATTCCAAGTTCAGCCTAAGAGAGGAGACATGTATAAGAAGAGAGTGATGGGAGGTAGGTTGCCATCAGTACTAATGGTCTGTAGCAAGAAAAAGAAAATCACCAACATAGTAGTCAACTCAACTCCATCACAAACTTATCCCTCTCTCATTCATGTTCTTTCCTTTCCTCTTTCTCCCAAAGACTATGCACGTCATGTCTGCTTGTCCTTCTAGCCATGTCTACCTCTTCTCCAGATTTTGTAACAATTTAAGGAATCCTTAGTCCTGGGGGGCCTCAAGTAGTAAAAAAACTGACCATACTTGTGCAATAATCTACCAAGAGAAACTGTCTGTCAACATGAAAGAGTTCTGCATGTAGAGTTTAAAAATATGATAGCTGATTGTGGTGTTCATTTCACAATGTATACGTATATCAAAACATCAAGTTGTATACCTTAAATACATAAATTTTCTATTTGTCAATTATACCTCAATCAAGGTGAAAAAATATATTAAGATTTTTTAAATGATCCACTTTTAATGAGAAGAGAAGAATCTAAGAACTCACAGTTTTAAAAGTCTTTTAATACTTATTAAAGAACATTTAATAATCCTTAATGATAGATTAACATAGAAGTCAAAGGAAAAGGGGAAAAAAAAAAAAAGTCAAAAAGACCTGGGAGAAGTTTTCAGGAAAGTGTCCTGGGGACGGGAAGGTTTGCTGGTGGGTAGAGTTGATGCATTGATATGTGTGCTTTAACATGTTTTATAAAACAACATCTTTATCTGTATTTTGAGATTTTATCCACAAAGTTCTGAAATTGCTTTATGTTTTATTTTGAAGGGGAAAAAAACCCTCAAATTTGTTAAGATTTAATTTTTTAGCTAGTGATTTAGATTGCTCTTGCCTTGTGACTTTATGATGTCTTTGCTTATATGTAAACAGCCAATCTGGGTTGTGTTTGAACAAAACCTCCTACCTACAGCCTTTGCTGCTTAGCCCAACTCTGTTCTTACATATCTAACAAAACTTTCTTTGGAAAACTTTTTTCTTGAAGTTTGGAAGTATGTGTACTCTAACATGAATCTAACATAAAATATAAATATGAAAATTAACACAGATAAAATCTTTGTATCTACACAATACACTTTCAGAGTCTGAAAGCTTGTTGTCAATATTAGTCAAATTTTTTGGTAACAATTTCATTGAGACAAAGTTCAAATACCATGCAGTTTACACACACAAAGTATATAATTCAATGGTTTTTTAGTATATTCGCACAGATTACCACACAATCAATTTTAGAACATTTTTGGCACCTCAAAAAGAAATTCTCGAAAAGATGCTTTTAGCTATCACTTTTCAATCTTCCTTTCTACCACTAAGCTCCCACCCTAGCCCTAAGCAACCACTAATCTACTTTCTATATTCATATATTTGCCTCTTCTGGATATCTTGTGTAAATGGAGTCATATAATATGATGTGTTTTGTGTCTGGTTTCTTCAAATTAGTATAACATTTACAAGAATTATTCACACTGTAGCATGTATTACTACTTCATTCTTTTTCATGGCCCAATAATATTCCATTGTATTGATATAACACATTTTGTTTTTTCATCATCAGATGATGTACATTTGGGATGTTTCTGCCTTCAGGCTATTATGGATAATACTGCTATGAATATTCATGTACAATTTTTTGCATGAACGTATGCTTTCATTTTTCTTTGATATATACCTAGGAGTGGAATTATTGGGTAATATGATAACTCTTTGTTTAACTTTTCGAAAAACTCCCAGCCTGTTTCCTAAAGTGACAACATGGTTTTACATTTCTACCAGCAGCATATGGGGGTTATTTTTCAACATCCTTGCCAACATTTGTTATTAGCAGACATTTTGATTATAGCCATTCTAGTGAATATGAAGTGCTATTTCATTGGGGTTTTGATTGCATGTATAATGTCTTAATTACTTAATATAATTCAATAATAATTAATATTATGAATAATAGTTTAATGTATTAGTTATTCTCTGATGAGTAATGATGTTACGTGCATCATTGCATATTGTCCATATTGGCCATTTGCATATCTTCTTTGGAGAAACGTCTATCTAAATCTTTTGCACACTTGCAATTGGGCTGTTGTATTTTCATTACTGAGTTGCAAAAGTTCTTTATACATTCTAGATAAAAGTCTCTCATCAGATATATGATTTGCCAACATTTTTTTCTCACTAAATTTGTTGTCTTTTCACTTTCATGTTAGTGTCCTTTGATGCACAAGAATTTTTAACATATTCTTTTTTTGTTTATATTTTTGTATTTTAGTTTTCTGTTGTCACATGCATACATGTTTATATTTGTTCTCTCTTCCTGATAGATTGACCATTTAATCATTATTAAATGCCCCTCTTTATCATTAGTAACTTTTTTTTATTTTAAAGTGTATTTTGTCTGACATTTGTAGAGCCACTCCAATTTCTGTTTTGTTTTTTTTTTTTTTTTTTTTAAAAGGAGTCTCTCTCTGTTGCCTATGCTGGAGTGCAGTAGCACAATCTTGGCTCACTGCAACCTCCACCTCCCAGATTCCCAGATCCAAGCAATTCTCCTGCCTCAGCCTCCCAAGTAACTGGGATTACAGGCATGCGCCACCACGTCCAGCTAATTTTTAGTAGTTTAGTAGAGACGGCATTTTTACCATGTTGGCCAGGCTGGTCTCGAACTCCTGACCTCCAATGATCCTCCTGCCTAGGCCTGCCAAAGTACTGGGATTACAGACGTGACCCACCATGTCCGTGTTTTTGCGACTAAGAAAAGATTCACTTTGGATACTAAATACATTGAGTTTGGCTTACAAGCTTACTCATCATTTATTGCCTCCCCTAAACAATAAAGGTTGGCCTTTTATGAGATTTTTAATGCTTTTGTGGAACTTGTGAACCAAAAAATGCTGATTCTTTGGCCCACAGACCAATGAAGTTAGAATCTCAAATAATAGAGTTTAGGTACATGAATATCACCAAACTCTTCAAATGATTCTTATTTCTACTGATATTTGATGGCATTTGTGCTGAAGATTTAATTACACAAGTACAAGAGTCTTTATTATGGAAGTTTTGTTTGTGAGGGTTATACTTTGTAATTTTCTGTTTGGGATCAGTTAATTAATCCCCCTTCCAGATTATAAATTCCCTTCAGGAACAAACCTACATTTAGCAATTAAAGAATACGAATGATTCTCTGCCCACAAGTACTCAAGAATGGTGAACAAAAGGTAAACAGCATTCCAAACGAGGCCAATTAGAAGTATGAAACAGCTCGCTTGATTGGAGCACTGTAATCAGTTAGATCATAAGAAGTGGGATAAGGAAAAAACATACTATTGTAGAGATATTTAGGGCCTGGTCATTTTGCAACAGCAAAAGCATTTAGATGATATACTGTAAATAGTACCTTTTAGAAAGGTTACTGAAAGATTGGAGGCTTAAGTTCCTAAATATTCCACAGAATATTAGACAAGGGTATGAATATAGACAGGACTGAAATACAGAAAGAAAGATAGATAATAAGAATGTTAAGGCATAAAGTTAAGCTAATTTCATTGAAGATAAAACAGAGGAGTTTACTACCATGAATCCAAAGTTTTTTAAAATGACTTGGATATTGGTAGATTCATTAACTAAAATTTACAAAGAAAAGAGCTAAGGCACCCAAAGACTAAGCTTAAAAATGTGTGTGGTTTCACATTTTGGATTCTCAAATAAGGAACTGGAACTAATGTCTCCGATCTAGCTGTTGGGCCAAAATCAGACTGATAGGTTTATAATTTTTATTTTTAAAAGTACTATGCAAATTTTAGCCTTTTCCTTTGTGTGCAATAGTTATCCATTGCTGTGAAACAAATTCCTCTAAAATTTGGTAAATTAAGACAACAGTAAATATTCTGAATCTTACAGAATTTCTCTGGGTTGGAAATTCAGAGCAGCCTACTTGAGTGAGTGGTTCTGCCTTAGAGACTCTAATGATGCTGAATTCAAAATGCTGACTGGGGCTGTAGTTTTTGGACTCAGACTGGGCAATCTTCTTCCAAAGTGGCTCATTCCCGTGACCAAAAAATTGATGCTGGTTGACGATGGGAGGATGTGATTACTTGCTATGTAAGTCTCTCCATAAGACTGCTTAATTGTCCTCACAACATGTTTGCTGGACTCTTCTAGTATGTATGATATGATTTGAGAGAGAACCAGGCAGAAGCTCTATCCTTCAATGGCCTAGACTCAGATGTCACATGGAACAAAGTAATCCCCAGGTGTTGAAGGAAAGACCTGGTGGGAGGTGATTGAATCATGGGGCAATTTCCCTCATAGTGTTCTCATAATAGCAAGTGAGTTCCCATGAGATCTGATAGTTTAAAAGTATGACACTTCCTTATCCCAGCCCCGCTCTCTCCTGCCACCATGTAAGACATGCTTTATTTCCCTGCCGCCTTCTGACATCATTGTAAGTTTCCTGAGGTCACCCAGTCATTAGGAATTTTGAGTCAATTAAACCTCTTTCATTGTAAATTACCCAGTCTCAGGTATGTTTTTGTAGTAGTGTGAGAATGGACTAATACAACAGGCATACCTCCAAGATAGTGTGAGTTCAGTCCCAGACCACAATGATAAAGCAAATACTGCAATAATGTGAGTCACACAATTTTTTTTTTTGGTTTCCCAGTACATACAAAAGTTATGCTCATACTGTAGTCTATTAAGAGGGCAATAGCATTATAACCAAAAAATCAACACACATACCTTAATCTAAAAATATTGCTTTAAAAAAAAGTGAACAAACTGAAGAACTGAGCACATGCTGTTAGAAAAAATGGCACTGGTAGACTCACTCCATGCAAGGTTGCCACAAACCTTCAATTTGTAAAAAAAAAAAAAAAAAAAAAAAAAAAAAACTGCAATATCTGTGGAGTGCAATAAAACCAGGTATGCCTGTATATAACTCAGATGACTCTAAGCATACTTATTTGAATTACAGGCAAAAAGAGATGGAAGATATATGTGAAGGTGCA